GAACTTTGTTATTTTTCATCCGATTTCGACCAAAATTTCAGAGAATGTTAGTCTTGACTAGAATAGCTTATGGTTAAAATATCTTCCCCAAATCTCAAAGAAATGCACAAGTTCTAGTCAATTCATTACCCTTTAGGCGGGCAAGGATTTCGCAATAAGGATACGAGCTAACATGCCGAGGCAGTTTTCAGGTTGTAGAGTACCCTTAGCGCGAGGTCGTAATGCAGCCCGATTTTTGAATTTCCAATTGTTTGATTTTTAAAAAACCTTTTTCGTAAAATTCACGAAATCATGCCTAAAAAAATTGCCAACAAAAATGAAATATCTAAGTTTTTTATTTCAACAAAAGAGAAATTCAAAAATCAGACTCTATTACGACCTAGCCCTAACTGTCCTCTATTCAACAAAAAAAAACCTATCTCTTATTTATTAAGTCGTTATTAAAAAATCCTTGAACGCGTAAACGGTATACTCGAAAAAATTCATTTTGAGAAAAACGGAAAATAAGTATTAGGAATCGATTTTTCCTGAAATCACCTGATTTATAGATCAATGTTCAAGACAGGCTATAAATATGTGATCTTAATATTAAGTGTTCATAGTCTCTTAGTGATTAGTATAAAAATAATCTTTACGAAATGCTGATGCAAAGAGAAAGCAGCCTAAAAAGTCGAAAAAGCTTGAAAAAAGTCGTGACAATTTCTCGAAAAATATGATAGTAGGAGCGAAGTTTTAGACGATAAGTTCGTCAAATCAATTCATTTTTCGATAAACCATAGATATTCTGAAAGCGGAGACCTCGATGCATCTTTCTATGATAAAACTTCAATTTTGACTCGTCTCCAAAAAATTGGATTTTCTGAGGGGGTCCCCTTAAGGCCCCCCCTACTCAAAAATCGATCTCATCCCAGGAACGTTCAAATGAGCTGAAATTTGGAGCATATGTTGGGGCTGAAGTTGGGAGGCTGTGGTAAAATTTTCAGCTCCATTTACTGACGTTTGACGGAGATATGAACCCAACAAGGGTCAAAAATAGCTCATTTTGTGTCCAAGATTTCTCGGTCCGGGCTCTGTCAACATATTTAAATTTTTTTTGTTTGAAAGAGCATCTCAGGATGCAGGGCAGTATAGAGTCCTTTTTTTTAAATTCTTACTTTCTTCGCGGAGAAAGGGGCTCATAAGTTCAATGACTCAAAAAACGCACAAAAAATGGGTGTCCAGTCACATAAGTGTCTGTATAAATAATAAAAAACAAAGCTTAATTAAAAAAAGGACTCTATATTGCCCTGCATCTCGACGCGCTCTTTCAAAGAAAAAAAAAATTTTAATATATTGACAGAGCCCGGACCGAGAAATCTTGGACAAAAGATCAAAAAACCCATAAACCGAGAAAAAATAAAAAAACATTTTTTGATTTTTCAAAAAACAGCTGGTTTTTCGAATAGGGGTTGACGGAAATCTTGAAAATTTTTTGGGAAAAATGAAGTAACGAGAAAAAATAATTATCGTTTATGAAAGATCTGAAGACGGGCTATCTTCCCATGCATTTATCTCAATTTCGAAATTTTTGACGAAAATTGACTTTTTGAGTGGGGGGGGGGCCTTAACAAAAATTGGCATAGGCAGCTTATTATGTTACATCTAATTGTTCTTCTAAGTTTATGAGAATTAATTTTCAAAACTGAAGAAAACTAAAACTCTGAAACAATGGAGGGTGTGGGTGTGGGTTGTCGGTGTGTTGGCAGGAGTCTCAGTTTCGGATTCCGGTCTCGGGAACCCGGCTAGGTTCTCGTTCGTGGAAATCCACGTACGAACTTGAAAATTTGTTTCCATAAGCTTTTGACCTTCCTGACACTTCTAGATATATGTTTCATTTCAATTTATACCATGTCACTATGGGTTCCCGGGTTTCCGTTCTTGTGAACCCGGAAACCTACGTGAAAGTTTGTTTTTATGAGTTTTTGACCACCTTTATTTAGATCTCTAGATATATGTTTCATTTCGTTTTGAACCAAGCCACCATGGGTTCTTGGGTTCTCGCGAACGTGAACCCAGGACGAGTTCCCATTCCTAGAAACCCGAGAACTCCGACGGGTTCTCGTTCTTGGGAACTCAGAACTCAATGTCACTCTAAAAAACCAACTACAGACTTTGAGATCCGAATTCGAGATAATACAGATGGACATTGAGCTCCGGATTTCCCAGAACGAGAACCCAGGAATGGGTTCACGTTCCTGAGAAGTCGGGAACCCACAGTGACTTTGTATAAATTTGAAATGAAAAATATATCATAATGTCAGAAAGGTCAAAAGCTTATGTAAATGAATTTTCACGTGGGTTCGCGTTCCTTACAATGGACCCGTCTGTCATGTCAGACGATTTCCTTAACTATTTTGGTATCAAATGATAGCCCTCAACGAGAAACTACCAAATTAAAAATATGAGCTGCTAATGACGAGCCCAGCTCGAGATATTCAAATTTTAAGGTATTGAAAATTTCGATATATAACAACAACAGATTTTTTCGAATTCAACTTTTTTGCAGTATTAACTATTTTTTCAAGTAGTTCTGCGCAAATTTCGATATTTTCTGAAGGGTCAGTAATCCATGATGAATGAGATAAAATAGCCTTCTTGTAAGAACAGTAACTAGTACATAAGATGTCGTAATTAAATGCATTGATGCTTCAATATTCGATATTTCAATACTTTCTCAAAGATTGGTTCAGTGTTGTTGCAATCGAATGTGAGTTTGTAGAAACATTCTTTCTAATCCTCTATAAAAACTATTGCTTTGAAAAGATTACATTAATCCGATAAAAGTATGAATCTAATGAATATCGTAGAACATCTTCTTGATTTAACTAAAGCTGAATTTGGTTTCGAAGCTAAAACAACAACAACAAGTGATGAAATATTTGCTTCACAGCAGTTATTTGAAATGCTCAAGGCTTTCAAACACAGCTGCTTCAACGAACTCCATACCTATGACTCTCTTGAATTTGATGATGAATACGATGATATGATGGATGAAGAGAGTAGTGATGATTCGGATGATTTTGAAGAAAATCATGATCCAGACCTTAGAAACCTTTTCACTTTGGAAGAAATGAAAAGTATTGCTGAATGGGTTGATCAACATCCAAATTATACAATTGCCACTATATCGCGTAGATTTCGAAAAATTAAATCCATGACTTATATCAACAGATTCAGAGAGTATATTAGTAGAAACGGCTCAAATCTTGAAAAACTAAATAAAATCAAGGATTTCATGTTAAACGAATTTTATATTAAAAGAGCCATTGAAAAAGAAGCAGTTCATGACATTGATCTACAACATTTTGCAATACAAAAGGCAAGAGATTTAGGTTGGCATAGCTTCAAGGCAAGTGAATCATTCATCATCAGGTTCAAGAATGAAAATCGAATTCCATCAAAAAAATACAATAAACTTATTACCCGAGACACATCAAAAAGAAAAATTTGTACTTTAAATGGTATGCATCAACCATATTCAAATTCATTATATTTATCTAAAAATAATATATTTTAGATGCCCGAAATTGGATTGAAAACAAAAGATCATTAATTTCAACATTTACCCCACATGAAATTCTAAACAGTGATCATTGTTCGTTTCAACAGGAATATGTTTCACCGAGAACTCTTTCATTTACTGGTGAACGAACAACAGAAGTAGCTGTTAAAAAGAAACACAATATTACTCACTCGTATACAGTGGGTGTGGGTGTGGGTGTGGGTGTGGGTGTGGGGTGTGGATGTGGGTGTGGGGTGTGGGTTTGGATGTGGATGTGGGCTTGGTTGTGGATGTGCGTGTGGGGTGTGGGGTGTGGGTTTGGGTGTGGATGTGGGTGTAGAAGTTCCAGTAAATACTCACACTCATCCATATGCAAACCCACACCCACACCCATACCCACACCCACACCCACACCAACACGCCCACACCCACACCAACACACCCACGCCCACATCCACACCAACACACCAACGCCCACACCCATACCCACCGTGATCTACACCAGCATCAAGTGCAAACTCATCCAATGCCATTTCGATGTTCGTTCACTAAAGAATGCTTCGATTCAAACGAAAGCTATGGAGATATGCTCAATTTACATAATCATGTCATATCTCAACATGCAGATTCGGGTGGGTGTGGGTGTGGGTGTGGGTGCGGGTGTGGGTGTGGGTGTGGGTGTGGGGGCGGGTGTGGGTGCGGGTGTGGCG